CCTATCCGGCACTGTTATCAAAACCAAGGATGGCAAATGAATCCTTCCCGCGACCGCTGCGCAACGAGCCTTTGTGCCCACTCCCAGAAGACTATGCTTTGCGAGGGTTTGCATTTTCAAAAAACTACTTCCCTGCCGATTGGTTTTCTAACGAGAAGCTTGAAGATGCTGAAAAGATGTTCGAGCCGCCCTCCTTGGGCGACAAGCGACGCCAACGTCTGCATTGGCTTGGACACCAGATCTGCAGTCTGGGAACCTGGATCAAGTGGAACACAGGCTCAAGCCGTTATACTACGGCCGAGGAGGGTGAAAGGCGGCGACAGGTTTCTAGCACAGAGAGCCCTGGTGGCGGCAAGTACCCTCACTATGCTGCGCCTGCTGACTTACGGTCTCGAGTCTCTGGTGGCCAAACTGGCTCGCCTGCTCCTTCAAGTTCTCTGCGCCAACCAGGCGTGCCCGCTACCACCAGCCAGCAAGCACCAATGACCAAGATGAGCCGGAGCGATTTTGACGAGACGATGATCGACCGTTTAAATTGCCAATTCTGTCGCCGCTGACCAGACGCCGCAACATGCTTGCTACCGAGTTCGCCGAGCATCTTCGCCACCACCTTCTCCGGGAGCGCTAGCTGGCCGTGTTTCTACATTGAACGCAACGTCGGCAAGCCCGCTTCCGTCCCCTGCCTGCCAATGACCTTGTTCAAGTACTTCTTAGCTGACGAGGCTCCGACAATAGAGCGTCTCGCGCGTGAATATGGGTGAGAAGCGATGTAAAGGCACAAAACGATATACCGAGAACCGAATATTGTCGCGATTTACCTGCCGCTGCATGTGAGCGCCACAATAAAGACAGCAAAAGTAGATAGAGAGAGCAAGTTTGGCATTTGTAAGTAGCTATGCGATTGTGAACCGTACAGATTGAAAGCTCTCATCAATTAGTAAACCTCAAGATCTTTCGATGACCGTCCGCGGGGCTCGAGCCTGCGCACAATTGACCCCTCACATAGATAATTGGCGTCTCCGCTGGCTGTTCTCAAGGGTGTAGCGGGCGCATCGGCGAAACCCAAATCGTAGACGGGCTACCTCTCGACGGAAAAGGCACTGGCTTGTCAACGAATTTAATATTCCAGTGGCCTTCAATCTCAACTTTCACAGACCCATCTCCATCTGGAGTTGTTATTTGAAGATTTGCGTTCGATAACACAAATCGAGATGTTTCTGTCGCAGTAGTGCTTCTTCTGTTCTTTGGAGTTGGCACTTCTACTTTTTGTGTTTCACCGGATATCTCGTCGGCATCATTTCGATACACATTGTAAGATCCATTTGCGCCGATTGTGGTACACGGAATAGCCCTTTTCTGTGCGGTGCCATCGTCGCAGTCGCGGTGAGTTGGATGATGCCGAAGACTGTCTGGTGAGGCAATGTGCAGATCGTCCCCACTTTGATCGCGTCTCTCAGCCTCAATTGAACTTTCGCGGAAGGCCACGTCAACACGCCGCATGTGGATTCCTTTGCTCTGCACTGCTCCTGTACTTCGGCTTCCCGTTGCAGTTTCGAATGCCCGTTTGCCATACCGTACGTCTTGGGTCGATGGGTCCGAAACCTTTTTACGCTTTTTGGTTGCTGTGTTGCCACCCATGGATTTCCGTTTTCCTTCCGCAGATGTCCGCGGTGCTGTAGCAGCCTGCGGCACAGCTACCCTGGCACTCTGATGAATACTGAATTGGTCGAATCGGGCAACGTCAGCGTCGGCATGTGCATTCGGATCCTCGTTGTTAGACTCTTGCTTCGAACTGTGTATTTTCTGAGGCTGTCCCTTCTGTGGGCCATGCTGCCTTGTTCCGCGTTGCCTTTGCCTGGCAGGTTCTGTATCTGCGCTGCCCTGACCGACTTGGTCTTGAATTTTATCGTCTGAATCAGAAATGACGACTGTGAATTGCGCAGCGTTGTGGCCCGCTATCGAAGACTGCGATAGATCTTGTGCGTCGGGGACCCCTACAGCATCAAGTGCTTCCGCTGCCATCTCAGCGACACTAGCTTCGGCGCCAGCCGTGGGCAGAGGGCTGGTCTGCCGCGAGGGAAGCGAACCGTGACAGTTTACAGCGTGCTCTTGCTCGTGATCCGCAGCACGATTGGATCTGCCGGTATTGATACTACTACTGGTCTCTGTGCTACCAGCGGTTGTTCGCAAAGTTTCTGCGTACTTTGATTAGCTGTGTCTTAGCATCTGCTGCTACCAGTGAACTACCAGTGCCAATTGCGTCTTTCATTTTGTCCGAAGGGAAAGCTGTTGACTTCGGCGTTGCTTCGGGATCATGAACTGGGCGATCATGGTGCTCAGAGGGGACATCCTTTGGGCTTTCGACGCCTGGCATGTCAGCCCCGAGAGTGTTTTTGGCTCGTGCCATGGCATCAATTCTACTTAAAGGAACTAGAGAGAGGAAGTTAAATCGAGTGAAATGTGAGGATGCGATGAGGCAGATAGTGGCAGCTGCCGCCCTTTTATAGTTTCGCCGCTCTCGCCCATGACGTGATACTCAAAGAGCACGTGGGACATGGCACTCGAGGGCCTCCTACTGATACTCGGCTGCAGCCGTCGCAATCAACCTGGCGGAAAATGTCTCGTAGCCTGCAGACGTTATTGAAAGACGCTGCGTGAATGCATGGATGAGGTAGAGAGGCAAGAGGAATCTTACCCGGCGCATGCAGCCTTCTCTTGACTCGATTCCCCTTGCCAGTAGTAGGAACACGCTGTTTCTCAAGATATTCGAATTGCTGGTCGAGCCAGAAAACGCAAGCAGCAGCGTGTAATGTCACGAGATTCCTGATGTAGCGGTGCAGGACATCATAATTTTGTGAACTCGGATGCCTGTTG